CCTTCTCATTCTCCTAGCTCCCTCCCCCCTCTTCCCATGCTCTCAATTTCTCAGGGGATCTTGAGCCTCTCCCCTTCTCCAGGGGACCATGTATGTCTCTCTTAGGGACCTCCATGTTTATTAGCTTCGTTGGCAGTGTGGATTGTAGGCTGATAATCCTTACTCTATGTCTAAAATCCGAATATGAATGAGTACATACCATATTTGTCTTTTTGCAATTGGGTTACCTAGAAGAATGGTTTCTTCTAGATCCATCCATTTTCCTGCAAATTTCAAGATTCCATTGTTTTTTTTTCTGCTGAGTAGTACTCCATCGTGTAAATGTACCACATTTTCTCTATCGATTCTTCCGTTGAGGGGCATCTAGGCTGCTTCCAGTTTCTGGCTATTACAAATAGCTATTATAAACATCGTTGAACGTATGTCCTTTGTTGTATGAATGTGCTTCTTTTGGGTATATGCCTAAGAGTGGAATAGCTGGATCTTGTGGTAGACTCATTGAGGAGTCGCAATACTGATTTCCAAAGTGGCTGTACAAGTTGGCACTCCCACCAGCAGTGGAGGAGTGTTCCCCTTTCTCCACATCCTCTCCAACATGAACTGTCATTGGTGTTTTTGATTAGCAGGGAAATAATTGGAATTATTTGGCTCTCAAATGCCCCCTGATGCAACCACAGGAGCTAGCACGGTGCCCTGTGAGTAGGATGGTCAGGTTCCCAGAGAAAGATCGGCTTAGTCAGAACTGCATGCGCACAGAGATGGCATGCAAAGAGTAAGAGATAAAGGACCATGCTCTCTCTTGTGCAAAGGTTCTGGCTAGATTAACAGGATCTTCGCTTCCAGCACTGGAGAGGCAGAAGCAGGTGGATCTCTGTGAGTTCCAGGACTGCCAATATTACATAGAGAGACACTGTCTCAAACCACCACCAGGCCCGAAATAACTAACTACCTAAATAAACAAACAAATAACATGAGACACTACCACCACCACCACTTGTAAATGAGCTCAAAACTGTGGTAATAGCGAATCAAAGCATAAGCCATAACCTGCGTCATGCTGGTACCAGCTTCCTTCCCTTTTCCAGTGGCTTACTGAAACACCACATGTGGATTGAGTCTTAATGCAAAAGGTTAAATCTGGTTTCAAGTTTCTTGGCCTGCAGGGCTGTTGACAGAGCCCTCAAGCACAGGTTGTTACTCTAAGAAAAAGGTTGTGGTTCAGTGCCCCAGGTTCATAGTTTTTTGTTGTTGTTCAGGGAAACTAGGTATTTCCATGGTTTGGAGACTACCCAATGAGAGACTGGGTGTCTCATCAGTGGGCGATGCCTATTTTTAATATCTTCTAATATTTCTTTGAAAGTCTTAGTGCTATTGACACACAAATAATGTTAAGTAGGTTGGCATTATTTTTAAAAGTGCTTTTTTGTGATAAAATATTATACAGACAGGCAACACTAGATGGACTCCTGTGAATTGTGTGCGTGTGTTTCTGTGTTTAGATGTGAATAACAGTAATAATCAAAGAGAAGGAGGCCATGCCTTTTGGGAGAGGTTGGAGGGAGGAAAGGAATGGAGTGATTATATTTTAATTTTTAAAAAGATAGCAAACCGAAGAGACTCTATAACACCTACTAAAAGTAAGCAAAAGAATCACAAGTACAAATAAACCAGATATTTACAAAACCATATTGAAGAAAAACTCCACACTACTAAGAAAATAAAACAGGAAAGCATGCTTTAATATTAGAAGTATGAACAGTGTAAAATCATTTGTAAAAGTTTCAATAAACATTAGTTGAATTAAAACAATAATGGATACATTCCTGATACTTAAAACGAGTATTTTAGAGTATAATTCAAAATAATTACAATGAAATGTTTTGGATGCTTCCATCCCTCCACTAAGATCCCACTAAGAGAAACTGTCTCAAAAGACAAAGTGGATTCCATCTGCGTGTTCACATACACCCCTACATGTGTATATATGAAAATTCCCAGTAACCTACACACACATATAAACATACCACAACTGTTAAAAAATACAGAATTCTGATTCTAACTACTTCATGAGTGCTGGTTTCCTGTTTACAAGCCTTCAAGTCATGCATTCTTATTATCTCCTTGATCCCAAGGCAGGTAAGTAAACTATAAGCAGAGTACTCAACCAAGGTCACATAGACGTCATAGCAAATGAAGAGATGAGATGTAAGCAGATCTCAGCTGCTTGTTTCAGAAATACATTCTCCAATGGTGGGAGAGCACTGGCCTTTCCTTCTTCCTGGTGGGGCATCAAATATGTCTATAGGAAGAATAAAAATGCTGACATTTTAGAATAAATCACATGAGTCTGGATTCAGTGTCTGAGTAGAGAAAGTTTTCTCAACCAGATATGAAAAGTCATTGAAGATGAACAAATTTGACTGCATCAAAATTAAATGCATAATACAACAAAATAAAATATAGTGAAAATATCCACAGCAAACTGGAAAGGTGTAAATAGGCTTAAAATCAACCATACATATAATAGAAATCACAGTGGATGGGGTGAATTTTACAGACTTATAGTTTTCCTTAGTTGTGATAAAAAGTAAATTAAATATAAAACTTTAAACTCACAAAAATAACATAGATAATGGACTATTTTCTCTAAATTTGGCAAACACAAATCGATTGGATAGTGGAACCACAATTCTTTAATAACTGTTCTTGTTTTATATAGTTTTACTATGTTAAAGTCTTTCTTTTTAATTAGACAAAAGGGGTGAAAGTTGTGGGATAATCTTTTTATACACTGTGAAGATGTGTTGCTCACATTGGATTAATAAAGAGCTAACTGAACAATAGCTAGGCAGGAAGAGGTTAGGTGGACAGCCAGACTGAGAATGCTGGGAAGAAGAGCAGAGCCCTCAGCCATATGCAGAGGAAGCAGGAAATGTAGAAGGTGACGTAACAAGTCAGGCATGAGCTACATGTCAGCATGTGAATGAAAGGAAATGGGTTAATTTAGTTAGTAACAAGCCAGAGCGATTGGCCAAGCATTTATAATTAATTAATAAGTCTGTCTGTTGTTATTTGGGAGCTTGCTGGTGGGACAGAATATTCTGCTTACAGACAAGTTTTAGGTAAACACTGTTAAGACCAGAGCAACATTTAAGAAATTCCTTATTGTCTCACAGTGTTGAATAATTTTGACCCTAATAATTTTAATAATCTTTAATTTTTACCAATTTAGTTATGGCCATGTCATCTTTAAGTTTTAATGTCTACCACTTCTTACAATGTATTTTAATCTTGTCTTCATCTCTTTATATTTTGAAATAAACTTTTAGCATTGGATAAAAAAATTAATTGATCATATGAAATCCTTTCTCATCTAAAGGTATTTCCTTTTCCTTCAACCTTCTTTTTAAAAATTATATCTGTATGTCTAACCTTTATATTTCATTTTCCTACTTGATGGTTCCTTTTATATTTCAATATTTATATTAATTCTTTGAGGATTTCATACACGCATACAATGTATTTTGATCATATTCACTCTACTGCTGCCCCTAACTCTTCCCAGATCCACTCTCACCTCCCCAGTGCCTTCCAGATTCCTCTGTCTACTCCCCTAATGTAGCAATATGGATTGAATAACACCTCCCTATCCCTCCCTCTCGTTGGCATTCTTGGACAGGTAGCCAAGTTTAACTGCTTGGGGCTGTGGGAGCCATTTGTTTTGTTTCATTTTTCCTATAAAATTCTAGTTTAACTAGGACCTGAAGTGAATGTGGGCTACCTTAACAACTCGATTTATGTAAGCACCCACCTATAAGCCAATGTGATACCAAGTAAACTTCATAAAAGATAAGTAATGACAGCACATACATAAACATAGACATACACAAAGACAGATCTTAAAGCCAAGGCCTGAGAGCTTTCTTTTATCTCTACCACACTTAAGTTGGACTGCTTTGATTTTCTCCTTTGTGGTATCTGGCAACCAATAATCTTAGGCCTGTCCTTTCAAAGGTTTAACTTTTGGCAGAATAAGGTAGATTTACATCTTAAAGAAGTAGACTTAGAGTTAAACCTGGTCTTTAATAAGGCTCAGGTAGGTCCTCAGAAAAGGTAAAATTCCAACACATGAAACTACCATGCATCTAGTTGCAAAGCTGGAGAGTAGAGGCAGAGATGCCTTACCTGTTGGAAATGTGTCTAAACCACATCTGGCTTTATTTGCTTGGGTTTTGAGGATCAAACTTTGGCCCTCATGTTTGCAAAGCAAACACTTCACTAACTGAGGAATCGCCCCGCCCTACCCCATCCCATCCCAACCCATCCTACCCCACCCTGAACACAATTGCAATGTTTCTGTTTCTTTTCCGTAATAAGTCCGTAGTGAGGAATCATCACCTTCAGCCCATCAGAACTCAAAATTATCATTATAATTTTCAATTTTCACATAAAAACTCTACCTCCTCTACCAGAAAACCTACAGAGGAGGTGTGAGCTGTCGGCTTCCTTTTCCTTAGTGTCATCAAATGCTCTATATTCTACCTCGTCTTCTATGAGTGATAGAAGCATGGACCTGTGCTATGGAGAGCCCTTTCTCTCGCCCCTGTGCTTCTGAGGGTTTTCCAGCAATCATCGCACCAATGGAAGGTCCTCCTCAGAAGCTGGCATTCAACTTCTGGAGTCCTGTAAATTTTCGCAGAAGTCTATCACCAAGTATCCTAATTAGCTTCAGTTGTCATCTTTCCACACCCTATGATCATCTGTTGGGGGTCTCAACTGAGGGACTGACCAGAACAGAACACTATAACCATGTCTACGAGAGATTGTCTTGGTGACTGAGGTAGAGGGGCACAGCCCACTCTGAGTCACATCATCCCTAGGCGGGTGGACCAGGATGAACACAAGCCTGTGAACAGAGGTAGCCACTGAGCAACATTCCTTGGTGGTTCCCACCTCCATGTTCCTGCCTGAGTTCTTGCCCCGACTTCCCTCAGTAATGGACTGTGGCTTGAAAGCGTGTGAGTAGAATAAAGCTTCCCCTCCCCTGAGTAGCTTTTTTTTATCACAGCAACAGAAAAGCAAACTTAAACACTTAAGTCTTCTTACATAGGATTTCAGGTGCATGCCACCGCATACAAAACATGGGGATTTTCCATGTTTCTAATGTTTTAATTACAATGCAAGAAAATATTCCTTGCATTAGTTTTTAAATTCCAAATACACATATGAGGAATAGTTTCAATGTTTTGGAGGTGTTATGATGAAGCTTGAGGGGGTCCTTGGGGGATTCCATGGCAGGCGAGGGTGACCGAGGCAGAGGGACAAACATGCCAGGCAAACAGAGCTTAGTGAGAAGTTTTATTAGAAAGGGAAAGGGGAGAAAAGAGGTACAGAGACAGAGAGAGGATAGAAGAGAAGAGGGAGACAGGAAAAGTCCTGTCTTTTCCAAGGGAACAGCGGGAAAGGAAGTAGCCCGAAGAGAGGAGCCGGAAAAGGGCGTAAGTGGGTGGGGATCTTTCTTTTAAAGGGGTCCTTGGCACCTGGCTGACTGGGGTACTGCCTGAGTGCATTCTGCCAGGTGACAGGGGTAGGCCAGCATAATGCCTGAATCCTTAGGGGGGTTAATTAAAAGTCAACAAAAATTATAATCCCTCCTTCAATTATTGAAATCTGTAGGTATGGTTCCAGCTTATGCAGGAATCTGTGGTGCTAAGCTATAGTGCAGAAGACAGTGCCTACGTACGAAACGAGCCTTGATTTGCCATGAAAACGTGTAAAACCAATGGGTTCCTTTACAAAGTTTCGCTATACAACCTGTATGACAGTTGAAAACTCAGAGATATTAAAATAAAAACAAAATGGGGGCGGGACTCAAGGACCAAGAGAGAATAAGTGCAGTTTACGGTTAGTTGAAATAACTCCTAAGTCACACAGCTTTATCAGGTTTTAGATTTGGGGAGGACAACACAAAGTCCAGGGAAAGGCAAGCTATGATCTGCTGACTGGATAGCAGAAGGTAGAGTTGATGCCAAGCAAGCTTCCCCGTGGTGATCGCCAGCCAATCAGGGGCTGCTAGCAGACACCGTTGGGGCTTCTCAAGCTGCTGCCGTTACTCCCGCAGAGGAGCAAGGACAGGGCCAGTGAGGACAGGGCCAGGGACAGATCTTGTGGCCCTCTGGATCCAAGCACAGCGCTGTATCATCCATCCATCCGTCTTGCTCCATCCCTGACCCCAGAGAAACTCGGCCCTCAGAGTCCAAAGGTTTGAAGACAACGAATATGATTATCAGTTCTCCTTTGCTCCTAAGAATTTTCTCAGCCTCTGTAGTCACCGGAGCATCATACCCATGATGCTAGAAAATGTATACAGAGCGTCTCAGACAAGCCATGCACCCGGGCATCACAGGGCAACGTTTGGTAAGGAGATGACAGGGTTTGTTCACAGGCTAAGGCTGGTAGCCCTTGCTTAGCCTGTGACACAGAGTGTATGCATATGGACCTTAAATAAAAGCAAACGCCATCAACAAAACAGAGGCTCGACACTAAAAGGAAAAATGGAGACGGATAACATTACCTCTCCACCACAACCCCCCCTCCCTCCCTCCCTGCAGAAAGGAGACATTTCATTAAAACAAAGCAAAACCAACAAATAAAACACGAAATGAAACCAAACCCTCTGGGGAAGGCGGGGACTGGGTTTTTGTTCCATAAGCCTTGCTGGAGAACATACGGCACAGTTGTTGGAAATGACACATAGCTGCAGAGGCACACCTGAGTACCTTCCTCCCTTTCCAAATAGATCAATGACTGAGTTATGAATAGGACACAGAGAATGTGGATTTTTTAAAAAAAAAAATGGGGGTTTTGTTTGCTTGCTGCTTTTCTCTGGTAAATAATGACCTGTCTGTTTGCCTTATGTGCAGATGGGAAGAAATTGCTGACACTATGGACCCTGCTATGTGGTGGTGTTGTTGTTCTTGTTTGGGCATTTTTCACTTTACCTAGAAAATGTAAGTGATCAGTTCCGGCCGGCCTCTTTAACCCCTAGAAGATCAGTCTTCTCATAAATATGCATTGCATTGAGAGTGCCAGCTGCTGCTGATTCATTCAAAAATGGGATTTCATGCCCGGAAAGGTTTTCCCCCTAACTGGACATGGACAATCACAAGTGAAGAGTTGTGGAAGAGTAGCGTAAGAGCTGTGCAGAAGTTCCTTCAGTTTGAAGCAGGATGAAAGGGGGTTATGCACCAGTCACGGTGGTCAGGTAAAGCTTACCAACAGCTGGGCTTGTGTGCTCCTAGGTAAGATCTTATAGGTACAATATTCATGGCAGAAAACTGAGCCAGCTGACGGTGGTGGAGGTAAAGAGCAAAGTGAGGTTATGCTGTGTTGCATTTCCAGAGTGCGTTACCAGTCACTGACACACGAGAGTGTGGGCAACTTTATTCAACAGAAGCCGTGATGGAAGACACCTCAGCAAACAGCTTCTTCTGGACACCATAGGGTGTCCAGCTTCTGCACAGACCCAGGATGGTCTTACTCTATCCTGAGCACTGCGCTTTTCTCTCTCATACACCGTTGCTCCCCTTGGATATCTCCATCAGCAATGTAACAAGGTCACAGCATACCCCCAGATTAAATGAAAACAAAACAAAAGAAAATCTCATTCGCCCCTGTTCTTCCTATAAGTGCTGCTGATGCTTGCTACTTAATACAGAAACCTCCTTGAAATCTTTTCTTTGTCTTTTCTTCCTTTCTCTCGCCTTTGCTCCCTGCCTGCCTTCCTCCTCTCCATTCAGCCTTCCTTCCTTTCTGTCTTCAGGGTCTCGTGTATTCTAAGCACACGAACTGCCACTAGACTGCGTCTCCAGCTCAGCCTGCTTGGTTTAGTTCACTTTCTGTGAAGACGGTTGGTGTTTAGAGCTGATTCAGGGCCTTGCTCACATGAAACCAGGGCTCTTGCCATGGTACTAAACCCCCGTGCCCTTCCTTTTCCAAATTTGCATTAAATCCACTTTGACCAGGTTTCTGCTTCTGCTTTTCTCATGAAACCTGTAGTCAAGTTTACCAGAAACACCAATGCTGATAATTCTACTAGCCACTTGGAAAATTTCGTGCTGTTATACAATATAATTTGATCATATCCATCTCCCTAGCACCATCCACAGCAGCTCCCTTCCAATTTCATGATCTTCATTTTGTTGTGCTAACCCCCTGAACCCAGTTAGGACTACCTATATCTAGATATGGACAACCTACTTGCAGCCAGGTCGCCAAAGGCGAGTCACTCTCCCCCCGCAAGGATGCACTGTTGATCCAACAAGGATGGTGCCTCAGAGAAAGGGTCTCCAACTCCCATACTGGTGTTGGAATTTTAACTGGCTTGATATTGAGAAAAGTCTTTTCAAGGCAATTAGTCATTGGTGCAGACACAGAGGACTGGTCAAGCTGCCAATCTGAGTAACTGTGAGCCCACGGCTGTGGATAAGTCAGCTATACTAACCTTCCCCCATCCAAGGCTCATAGAGTGTCACAGAACAGTGAGTGCAAACTATGTAGCCACTGATGGATGCGGAAGAGAGCTATGAAATGTTGGCTTCCGTGTATCAGGCTCAGATCAGCTCTGCTTCTTCTCCCTCCATCCCTCCCTCCCCTCTCCCTCTCCCTCTCCCTCTCTTTCTCCCTTTCCCCTTCCTCTCCTTCTGTGTGTAGGTGTGTGTGTGTGTGTGTGTGTGTGTGTGTGTGTATGCATGCAAGAGTATGGGTTCTCATTGAAGCCAGAGTCAGCCTTTAATAACCTCTCTGCTTGAACCCTGTGGTATGGCGTCTTTCTCTTGAGCACTGCATTTCTTAAATGACAACATTCATATATCTAGTGCTGTGAGTTAAGGAGGAAATAGGAAATGTTAAAGTTAAATTTCAGTGTTTTGCCCTTTTCTGATTCCTCCCTCAAGAACAAAGGACAAAGTAATAGCATCAATTTCTGAGGAAATGCTGTTTTCAAGAAAAAATATCAGTTAGGTCAATGGGAGAGAACCAACTCTTCGATGTTATGACTATAGAGGAATCCATTTGTTTGTGGTAAAGTATCTGAGGTGCCATATCCAGTTTTAAGAGAAGTGAATAAATAAATTCCAGTAGTATAAAATATCAGAAGACGAGTCCAAGTATGTTACATTACTGGAAGTTGGTCACTGCTATTTTAAGTTACTGGAAGATCTTAATTCTGCAATGCTTCCCTTTCACCTGGTGTGCTCTTGCTTGACCTGTCATCTTGGAGTTAATGGCTAAAGTGATTTGGCTTAAATCAGCTGTGAAAGCGAAAGCGGCTTTATCCGTGTGAAATATAGGCAAATCTTTCACAATGAAAGTCAGATTGTTTTTCTCTTACAGTTTCTTCATGTCGTATGTTCATTTTAGTTGGAAACGCAAGAGTCATCAGAAATAAGACATGCGATGATGAAGTAAAGATATGCTCGAGTACCTGGCTTAAAATTAATCAGAACTGCTTCTTTCTTTTCCAACATAAAAATGCATGGCTCTCTGCACAGGAGAACTGTCAACACTATGAAGCAAACCTGGCGAAGTTCACCACCAAGATGGAATTGGTTAGATTTCCCACTAATCATGCTGAGTAGTTAAGACACAGATCTTTTGCCTTTGGGCAAGTTGGATCTCAGAAGGGAAGATAGACAACTGGACATACTCATAGAAAATATATAAACTACACAAAGTATGTTATCACTTCTCCTAGTGGGTAGATTGGAGATGAGGTCACATTTCCTTGAAATGACGACATCTGAGCACAGAAATAACATCGAGGGGATGAAACCTGGGGGCGGGAGGGGGGGAGGAAGCCAGCTTCATCACAGGATTGAGATAGGTAAATGCCTAGAATAGTTGAGGAACCAAAACCAGACAGGCAACCAACCTGTCTGCCACAGATGAATGAGCACGGGTATGCCTACAAGGGTCTTGTAGGCCATTACAGAGACTTTAGGTTTCTGCTTCAGGCAAAGCAAGGTATTTCAGAATTCGGGTCAAAAGGACTATATTCTAACTTCAATCTTAACAGACTTTTTTTTTTTCTTTTTTCTTTTGATGTAGCAAATAGAAAGGTGGGGCATTAGGAGTGTGATGAATGTAGCCAAGGGCAGGGCCTTTTCATGTACTGGGAACGAGACTGCTACGAGGTATTCCTGATAGTGCTCTGTTTTGTCACAGGAAACTTTGATGCGCCATGTGCAGTCACTACGATCTTCATTTTGGATTGGACTGAACAGACGAAATTTACGCAGATTCTGGGTTTGGACAGATGAAAGTATATACAATAACGTGTAAGCCTTCATACGCTTTATTTAGTGTTAGGTATAAATCATGGTAAAGATTCTAATTCCATAAACGACGACATCTACTGCTTCTTTAACTACATTTCCCAAACTGGCCCTCCAACAGATGCTGAGGAGATCCTTCAGACAAACTGGTTATTTTTGGGGGCATCTGCCCTCAAGCACCAGTGTTGGTTTCTGGGTGTTTAATTGGGTTGCACATATCTTCCTTTCAATGTAGACTTGACAGAAGGCTAGGCAGTTCTGATCACAGTTTACTCTTGTGTATGCCTGTGTGCACACTCATGTGGTGTGTGTGTGTGTGTGTGTGTGTGTGTGTGTGTGTGTGTGTGTGCTCACGAGCGCCCACACACAAGTGGGCACAGGTCACTTCTCACTGCTGAAGAGTGAGTATCTGAAGATTTACTGATGACTACATTGTCTTTAGCCACCAGGGGCCTAACAATATGGATGAGAAGTGATTGGGAAGATAGATGATTGATTTCCTTTTTTCAAAATTCCAGAACTTCTCTACTGTCCCATGCCTAACGAATTAATTGTTATCGTTAGACTCTGGTTTTGTTCTGGAAACATTTAAAATTTCCTTCAACTTCAGAGTAGAAGAGGGACTTAGAAGACGCTTCTATTTTTCACAGAGGAACCACAGGCTTCCTTGCACTGAGCGTGTTTTCCTTGGCTCACTCTGTGGTATTAATATATTGTGCCTCACCAAAAGATTTCTTCCAACAAGAAAAGTTTTCAGGGTCATTCTACTTATATCAAGCATAGGTTGAAAACACACAATGACTTGAAAGCAGCAATGTAACCAATAATTGTGGTTTTTCACTCTGAAAACCAATGTAAGACATCTATAAAGCAAGTTAACATAATGCCTATGATGTTTTCTTGAGGTAAATATTGCCAGTTTAAGATATTATATACTCCCACTTTTAAAAAACAATGAGGAAAAGTATGAGCTGGTGAAAGTGTGTTACTTTGCTAGGATCACCACAATAAATGACACAGATTGAACAACTTAAGCAACGGATCTAGAGTCTAGAAGTCCATAGTCAAGGTGTTGCCAGGGTCTGTTTTTTTTTTTTTTTCCCTTTTGCCTTGGTGTGTGGTTGCCTGCCATCTCACTCTTATCTTCCTGTGGCTCAGCCTGAATTGCTTCTCCTTAAAAGAGTATCAGTGGTACATGCAGTAGGAGAGTGTAGTTCAGTGGTGGAATATACCTAGCAATGAAAAAGCCCTGGGTATACACTCAACATGGACAAAGAAAAACAAAAAAGTCAGATTATATGATATTAGTGTTTATCCAAAAGTCATTACTTTAATCCCAACACTTGGAAGGCAGAGGCGGATGGATATCTGTGGTTTCCAGGCTAGCCTGGTCTACAGAGCAAGTTCCAGGACAGCCAGGGCTGTTAACACATAGAAACCTTGTCTACAAAGAGAGAAAGGGAGGGAGGGAGGAAAGGAGGGAGGGATGGAGAGAGAGAGAGAGAGAGAGAGAGAGAGAGAGAGAGAGAGGCTGTATTTTAAGCCAGGCATGGTGATATGCCTGCAATCTAATTTCAAAAATATCAATTAATTTAAGAAAGATCTTATCTTACTTAGTCGGTCCTTTTAAAACCTTATATTTAAATACAGTTACCTTCTGCACCCCTGAAGAGTAGGGCTTTCACATATGGGATTCCTGTAACAGTTGATGGGAATACTGGCACATGGGCATATGGGAATACGTAGGGATGCAAGTACAGTAGGTCCTCTCCATCTACAGACTCCATGTGCAGGCTCAACCAACCACAGATGGAAATCTATAGAAAGTAAGCTAATTATGCTTCTACTGAACGTGTCTGGCTTATTTTCTTGTCATAATAGCTTGATAATAGAGCATAACTACCACTTGGACGTGGTTACATAACATGGACGAATCTAGTGGAGTTATTTAAGGAGAATCTGAAGCCCATGAGGGGATGTGTGTAGGAGCTATGCAAGCACTGCATCACTTTATGTAGGGGGCCCGACCTGAGCATCTGTGGCTGGTGGTCTTTCAACTACTTCTTCAAGGATACTGAAGAGCTGACTATACACATATATTTTAGGAAAGAATAAGACGAAAATTCGAGGGTGTCCTAGAAATCAGCAAAGTGTACAGCTGACATATGCCCCTCCAAATAAGGCACTGAAGGCATTTTGATTACATTATAATCAGAACTTCACCAAGACTCACTGTCGGGCAATTTCTAATTTTGAATTCTCAATGCTACATGTTAGTATATGTGACGTGAAGTAGGAACTTCAAATACCTTTCTTAGTAACTCTGCATAGTGCCTTGCATATACCATGTCACTCTACTTAGTAAACAATACCTATCTCCTAATGAAATTGGTTCCCAAGTGGCCAAGTGAATCCATACTTGTACTTGTACGTTATGACAGGCCTGTACTGGAAAGCATGAAAAATGTTCCCTGAAATGCAAGTTACACTCCCCCACACAACACCTCTAAATACCTAAATATGTTGATTTACTAATTTTCATTCCCAATGGAAATGGAAGAATCTGACCCCTCCCTGAAGGATGAGGATATTTTCTTCCTTGGTGGCAGCATGTAGTGCCAGGGTGAGCTGCTGAGGAGTGGAGTGACACACCACCTCCCCAGCAGAGTCCAGAGGTTAGGTGTGATGGCTCAAAAGAGAGCAATGGCTTACATAGCATCCTCTCCACAAAGCATATTTGAACTGTGTTCACCAAAGTTTAGGTTCATTTTAGGAGGCTGTGCTGGGTCTGATAAATAAAGCAGTCAACCCTTTGTTTTGTTCCAGGAAGGAAGTCCAAGATCATGGGGATTGTGCCTTCATGCATAAAAGTGGTATAGACAGTACCAATTGTGATGAGCTAAGAGACTATATTTGTAGCAAACTAGGCCAGTGCCCTTGAAGAATTCTTCCATCCAAAAGAAAATGAAAGCAGTGTCTTCCTTCCTGCATGTTAAACCGATGGTGACGTGGTTTTTGTTCCCATCAAAATTGTTTTCAAATCTAATTTGACTGATGAACATTTACATGAATTTTATCTTCATCAAAATAGTTATTAAGAAGCCTAAAGAATAAGCTAAGTTTGAAACGGTACTGCTGGGTCCCCGAAGTTGGTACATTGGAGGCTATAGGAATGAAAGGCCTTGCTCAGAAGTGATTCATCTCAGTGGGGCACACTGGAGGGCGGAGAGAAGAGGAAGAAAGACCTCTGCTTGTCTGAAATTCATTGAAATCTTCAGAAAAGAGTAACAAGAGCTCTGAGACGAGGTGAGCTGAGAAGTTGCTTCATTTGCTTCCAATACACGGTTCATGTGGAACTGTGAACAAAGGCATGATGGGGCCTTGTGTCATCACTGGGGACCAAGCAACTCTCCACAGGTCTCTCGACCCTCAGTCAAACTGCTAAAACTGAAGGACGAAAGATAACCTGGATCTGTTGTTGCCACAATGACAGAAAGAGTGAAGGAGCCACATATTGTCATGAGTCACTGTGAGCAGAACATGAGCAGTCGGAAGTAGAGAGGAACACGAAGGAAGAACCCTGGCGACCTTGAAGGATCCATAGAGATTAGCAGGGATCCGCAAAGCTGTTTCACTCAGATTCTGAATAATACGGAAATGGTCTTGGAGGGAAGAGGGAGAAGAGGCTAACACTGGTCATCATTAAAAATCTCTTCAACCACCACAATCTTTTCTCATCTATGATCCTAGGGTTTGTTTCATTTGCATACACAGTTGTGGAGGAGTATAGGACATAAACTAGAAAAGGGACTACGGCTGGGGTGAGAGCTCTGAAGGAGGGAAGAGGGTTGTAGATACATGTCACATGAAACCAGGAGGACCACCGTGAGGAGGAGTGGGACTGTCAGGAGGACAGAGGGACAGAGGAGGAGAGTGGGGCAGAAGGACTGTTAGGATAAATCTTTCCGCCAAAGGCCACCTGAGCCCCACCGCCACGTGTGAGCTTTACGCCAGCTGCCCGCCCGCCCGAGTTAGGGCCCAAATGAATACACAGAAACTTGTATTAGGTTCAAAGCTGCTTGGCCAATGACTAGGATTCCTCATCTGTTAGCTCAGTCTCAATTATCATAAATCTATATATTTTATAAGACTTACTTATCGGACGCCTTATTGGCGTCCCCCCTTGCCAGTGGATCACATCGTGCTGCTGGAGGAGCAAGAGGAAAAGGGGGCCCTTCCTGTTTCTCTTTCGCTTAAATATGACTCTCCTTGCTATATTGCTTCCTGCCTGGATCACCATTTCTCTACTACATTTCCCAGAATCCTCTTTGACTCCTAGTCCCGTCTAACTTGCCCTCTCATTGGCCAAACAGTATTTTACAAAGGACTTACAAGAATAAAATGTACAGCCCCTGTAAACCTGGACTGGGCTAGATAAATGTCAGCCACTGCTCATCTTGGAAGGGAGGGCAAGGTCGTGCAGCATTCAGGCAACTTTGTGACTCAGAGTTTGGTTTGTCAGTTGGTTTTCTGTGGTCAGGAGCCTGGGTTTGCATTGTGGAATTGAAATAGAGACGAGCTTGGGGAAGACAGGAACTGGTTCAGATTGGGTTGGGAGAATCCTAGAACAGTTTCCGTTGGGGACTCTCATCTCTTCCTTTCATTCTTAGGAATTCCTTCCTCCACCTTTATCATCTGTGAGAGTTGCTCATCTTCCTTAATCTCAGTGAGGTACCGTCTATAAATAATTATGATGGGGGACACAGCTTTGGATTGCAGGCTGCATTAACCGAGGTGTGTTTACAGTAGCCTTAGCTCAGGGCTTTAACTACAGTGTCCTGTGATAGCTTTTATCATCTCCAGAATCATTTTAACAAAGGTAAGTTCCCACTAATTGTTCAGTAGCCAGCAGATATTAATTAAAATACATAAAGCATAATCAATCATTTATTCTAAATAAAAGAACAAAGCATGTACAAAAACGTTATGATTAAATTACTTTGCAGGCTGACTTATAAATTAATTTAAAGACTTAAATATCTTGCATCTTTTAGGAAAGGGAGGTGTGACATGTCTGTAATCCCAGCACTTCAGATGCTGAAGCAGAACGGTGAGGCCAGGTCAGCCTGTGCTACATAGTGAGATCCTATTTCAAAAACAAAATAAGGTGCTGGGGAGATAGCTGGGTCAATTCAGTGCTTGCTGTGCAAACATGAGTTTTATTCTCCATCACCCATATCAGAAGCCCAGCCTAGAAGCCGCCATTCATAATCAGTGGAAAATCAGAGAAAGGATTTTTGGGGCTTGCAAGCCAGCCAGTCTTGAAAAGGTAAGCTCCTGTTCCAGTGAGAGACTTCCTAAAGACTAAGGCATATAGCTGAAGAGATTGACTAGCTGCTCTTGTAGAGGACCACAGTTCTGTTCCTAAAACCCATGCCCAGGAACCCATCTCTGCCTGCATCACCAGCTCCATCTGACACCCTCTTCTGGCCTCTAAGGATACCTGCATTGACATGTTCATGCTCATGCATGCACACAAATACACACTTTTTAATATTTTGTAAGAATAATAAAGTGGTAAGCAGTAGAATAAGACACCCAGTGTCAACTTGTTGCAGATGCAATGCACCTACATGCTCATATGCATACACAGGCCAAATTAAAAAGAAATTCCATTGTTTAATGTTTTACCTTAGCTTTATTTTGGTGTTTCCCGATACAATAAAGAATTCTCCTTTGAATATCAACATCTCCTACAAACTATGGTATTCTTATACCCTTCAGTATTTTAGCTTAATTCTTTGGGCAAATTAAAGCTTAAATTATTTGCCTGACATTACACTAGGTGGTAGAACCACAATTTAAATCCTGTTCCTTTTCATGCACAGTGGAGACACCCAATCAATAGAAAAAATAGAATTCACATTCTCATCACAAGAAGATTTTATCAACATTTTTCATTCCCTGTATGGAGTGGCCTTTAGCAATGTTTAAAATGGGTTAGTAGGGGAAATAGAGTTTTTTGGAGTTTTTTGTTTGTTTAAAAATAGGACTCAACATGCTGTGCAAGAACCATATATTGTCTGAGTGGAACTCATACATGCTCAACTTTCTTGTACATCGGAGCTCTCCAGAACTCAGGGCAGGACAATGGCTTATGTCTGTGTATGATGTGCTTGCCACTAAACTGTACTGAGACAGAAAATATATATAGTAGAAAGAGCCAGGCTGCCCTTTCGTAAATATAGCAAAGAAAGGGGCAGGGGTGAACTTCATGGTGAAGATCATGCCTTTCTGCAGGATAGGTGGGTGGTTTTTATCCACTCCCAACCTGCTCCAGCGATGGTACCCAGGATGGACCTCTCACATGATCACACAGCTCAGAATTCTTTTCCATCTTACCATTTTCCTTGGAGTGCTAACCAGAGACCTTAGATTGGCAAAATCATAACTGGTCTGTTGTCTGAAGCCATCTTTCACTGCAATCTCTCTCCAGATATAACTGGCTTCCTACCCTTTATACAGGGTAACCTTTGCTTAACACCTTGACACACTTGTGACAGAGTATAGCCTTTAGAACGTTATCTTGTTAGTGACCAACTTTTTTGTCTTCCTTTTTCTAAATAGAACTTACTGCACAATGAGATGATATAGGGTTTTGATGTACTGTGTATGTTTATCTTATTGATTGTTAAAAAAAAATACTGTTTGGCCAATGAGACAGGAAGTCAGACAGGACTAGGAGTCCAAGAGGATTCTGGGAAATGTAGTAGAGAAGTGCTGATCCAGGCAGGAAGTGACATAGCAAGGAGACTCATATTTAAGTGAAGGAGAAACAGGAAGGGTCCCTTTTTCCTGTTCGCCTCCTCCAGCGGCAGGATGTGAGCCACCGGCAAGGAGGGACGCCAATAAGGCGTCGGATAAGATAAGTCTTATAAAATATATAGATGTATGATAATTGAGACTGAGCTAACAGATGAGAATCCTAGTCATTGGCCAAGCAGCATTGTACCTAATACAAGTTTCTGTGTATTCATTTGGACCCTAACTCAGGCGGGCGGCTGGCGAAAAGCGTACACACGGCGGTGGGGCTCAGTGGCTTTTGGCAGAAAGATTTATGGTAACAGGATTTATTATTTTTAACTCAGTTTTTAGTTTTAGCTTGTCTTCCTGGAATGGAAAACTCAGGAGTCCAGAAACTTCTTGCTGTTTAATCTTTATGCATATATCCTGAACATCCAGAACAGTATCAAGCACATGACTCTATGCTTGATAACTGAAATGATGGAGACATGAATGTATGCAAATAATCAATTCAAAAGGTAGCAAGTACTGTGTGTTTATGTCATCATACTAAATATTGGCAAGTGTGAAGGACTAGTTATTTGATTTTAATCAGTGTTTTCCAAAAGCACTCTCAAGAGTCACATCAGGGAACCTATCTGAATTTGGGGTCAGTTCAGGAGTTGGTCCTGCCCCATATTTACCTATATAAGACCCACATTTTCATCTTCGTTCTCCAGTGCCTTTCCTTTGGAGTGATGGCAATTGCTTGGTAGGTATCCTACTTCATTGTGAGAGGCAGAATTAGAAGCCAATTTTTTACGTGCTTCTATGACTCCAATAACACCCTTTTCAGCAATAAAGCTAATGTTCTGAACCAGAAAAAGAGTCCATAGTTTTCCCACCTGTGAAACAGCAACAAAACCAGGTTTGTAATGAACCCACTGTGTAAACTGTCATGACTCTAAGCATTTCTGTTCCATAAGTTTGAGTGAGCATCCTTGGGTCATGGGCTAGGTTCTAATTTTGTTTCTTTTGAAAACAGGTGCAATATTGTGGGAGAGTTTAGTGTAGAATTTCATATCTTTTAAAACTTAGTGTTTAATATATAAGCTTTAATTTGCATGGCATTTACAAATATGACTGCCCCTGGAGATA